CCCCAAACAAAAACATTATTCTTTTCAGGCTTCAGGCTTAAATATACACATATCCTTGGATTCGCTTTAGACTCTCCAGAATGTTTGTGTCCAGTATTCTATGAATGCGCATTGTGGCATGTTTCTATTACAGACTTCAGAATGAACTCGACTCTCTCAAGGAGGAGGACCTGGAGGGGGCGTGTCACCGCCTACAACAGCAAGTTCAAACTCTACAGCAGCAGTTGTGGCAAAAAAAGGTCCAAGACAGACATCAGCAGAAAAAGCAGCAACAGCCACGCCAGCAACAGATATGTAAAACCTTTCAGCAACCAGCCAAACAGCACCAGGTCCCTCCCACAACTAAAACGTCCACACAGGTTTTTACGGTAGCAGATGATTTATATTCACACCAGAACTGGTATCCGATAAAGAATTGTCTAGATGCATATATACAAACTTAGAATATCTTGAATCAAATTCAAATTCGAGCCCCCTGTGGTAGATTAGCCTCGGCTAAACAGGTTCTTTTATCCTCATGATATAAAGTTTCATTTTTATCATTATTGTTATTATGAATTGAAAGTGAAATGATTTTTTACTTCTTTTAGGTGATCTATTCTCACCTGTCGTATGTGGTCAGTTACCAATTGGTACTTTCAACTTCGTAATAATCGGCATGAAGCTAGCTGTAATGGAAGACTATCAAATTTGTTCAAACAAATGATCTTTCAATCACTGGGTTAAATTTGTATTAAATTTTAAATGATTCCTAAATAACCATAAGGCTAAACGTCATTACGTTTGCATGGCCTGTATTTAGCTGAAGTGAAATCTTGCAAAATGACTCTGACCGTCGTTTAAGCTCACAGTGATCATATAGGTTTATTCAAATGACGTAATGCCAAGAGCAATGGTATTGGGCCTTTAGCTGTTGAAATGGAGGGCTATCCTAGTACATAGCTCAAATGTAGTAAAAGTCAAAGCTGTTTATATGTTTAAAGTTTTAAATTCTCAAGATAGAATCATGAAATGCTAGGGTCATATTTGGTCATTAGTGTCAATGCACCTGGGATGGAGAACTTACGTTCCTGGCACAGAAGTGTTCTGTTTTATCTGGTGCAATGAACCACGGGTGACTGTTAATTAAGGCTTTTGGCCTCTTGTTTAACATACATATATATTTATATAAAGTTGTTGAATCACAGCACTGAATAAATACAATATCTTTAATGAAGAATTTAATACAGAATAAGTATTGAAGTACTTACTTGAAAGCGTTATTCTAAAAGTTTCTGCAAATATTGAATGTTACCAATTGTAGTCCATGAAGCGCTGGGCAATTTGACTAAGAAATCGCTAGTTTCAAAAAGAATTTTAACAAACGAACTTTCTATCGTTTATGACCCAATTTAACAGGATGAAGACGTACCGAGCGTGTCCACAAGTAATCGTGTATGTGTGTCCAACTTCACTTTCAAAACTTCTTCGGCTGGAACTGACCAATCAAAGGTAACCCACATTATCAATACAGGCCGGAACTAACCAATCAGTGGTAACGCACATTATCAATACAGGCTTGAACTGACCAATGAGAGGTAACGCACATTATCAATACAGGCTTGAACTGACCAATGAGAGGTAACGCACATTATCAATACAGGCTGGAACTGACCAATCAGAGGTAACGCACATTATCAATACAGGCTGGAACTGACCAATCAGAGGTAACGCACATTATCAATACAGGCTGGAACTGACCAATCAGAGGTAATGCACATTATCAATACAGGCTGGAACTGACCAATGAGAGGTAACGCACATTATCAATACAGGCTGGAACTGACCAATCAGAGGTAACGCACATTATCAATACAGGCTGGAACTGACCAATCAGAGGTAACGCACATTATCAATACAGGCTGGAACTGACCAATCAGAGGTAACGCACATTATCAATACAGGCTGGAACTGACCAATCAGAGGTAACGCACATTATCAATACAGGCTGGAACTGACCAATCAGAGGTAACGCACATTATCAATACAGGCTGGAACTGACCAATCAGAGGTAACGCACATTATCAATACAGGCTGGAACTGACCAATCAGAGGTAACGCACATTATCAATACAGGCTGGAACTGACCAATCAGAGGTAACGCACATTATCAATACAGGCTGGAACTGACCAATCAGAGGTAACGCACATTATCAATACAGGCTGGAACTGACCAATCAGAGGTAACGCACATTATCAATACAGGCTGGAACTGACCAATCAGAGGTAACGCACATTATCAATACAGGCTGGAACTGACCAATCAGAGGTAACGCACATTATCAATACAGGCTGGAACTGACCAATCAGAGGTAACGCACATTATCAATACAGGCTGGAACTGACCAATCAGAGGTAACGCACATTATCAATACAGGCTGGAACTGACCAATCAGAGGTAACGCACATTATCAATACAGGCTGGAACTGACCAATCAGAGGTAACGCACATTATCAATACAGGCTGGAACTGACCAATCAGAGGTAACGCACATTATCAATACAGGCTGGAACTGACCAATCAGAGGTAACGCACATTATCAATACAGGCTGGAACTGACCAATCAGAGGTAACGCACATTATCAATACAGGCTGGAACTGACCAATCAGAGGTAATGCACATTATCAATACAGGCTGGAACTGACCAATGAGAGGTAACGCACATTATCAATACAGGCTGGAACTGACCAATCAGAGGTAACGCACATTATCAATACAGGCTGGAACTGACCAATGAGAGGTAACGCACATTATCAATACAGGCTGGAACTGACCAATCAGAGGTAACGCACATTATCAATACAGGTTTGAACTGACCAATGAGAGGTAACGCACATTATCAATACAGGCTGGCACTGACCAATCAGAGGTAATGCACATTATCAATACAGGCTGGAACTGACCAATGAGAGGTAACGCACATTATCAATACAGGCTGGAACTGACCAATGAGAGGTAACGCACATTATCAATACAGGCTGGCACTGACCAATGAGAGGTAATGCGCATTATCAATACAGGCTGGAACTGACTTAAGCTTTAAGTATTTAGGTGGGAATTATTATTCCAAATGTGTTTAGTCTTTGTGAAACTATAGACTTTTATTAGCAAAATGATATGCCTTTCATGAAAAAGTAAAAGTGAACGACACTTTCTGGACGTTGTATTTCGTATTTCTGATAAAGATGTATATACATTCAGAGAGCTGTCGTAGAGGATCTGGAAGTAGGCAACTTGGATGAAATATTTGATGACGACCTCATGAATCTCTCTGAGCAAAACATGCAACCTGTTGAAAGGCATCAGATTTTTAGAAAAGGTTTGTAGCATAATCTAATTTGTATATATATACATGTAGTAGATAATAAATAAACAAGTTCTTGTGAAGGAAAATATAGAATAAAATAATAAGTATCCAAGATCTACCGCTACGCATTTCTGCCTTCTAGGGCTTCTTCAGGCGGACTGATGTGTATTTGTCACCGTCGGTTACATGACGTAACCTTCCAAACATGGCAAAAAGCAACAGAAATATTTCAAAACTATAATAACCTTATATACGCGGCAGCTCTTGATGATATTTAGGGATTTGCTTTCTAGTAACACAGCAGAAATATTGTGCCAGTGGTCTTTCCGATATATTTACAAATCTTTGTACTTTTAACGAATTACCACAAATTCAATATAGAGTAGCACGTATCTAAACAATATTGTTTCTCAATGCAGAAAGACATTTAAAGTAAATGTTCAACTGCAACACACAGCCACAGAGTTAAGTACTCGCTCTAAAGATGTTCTGGGTTAATTTAGTCATTCACACATGAACATATCGAAATGCTTTGAAATATGTATAGTGCCACTTCGACCATTTTATAAGATCAAAAAATCAATTTCTTCTTTTATACTACTTCATTTCTTTAGATTTTAGTGGTGCAAAGTTGTTAATGAATTTCTTTCTCTGTTTTTCAGGACATTCCGCAAAATGATATCAATCATATTTGTACAATGGCTAATTCTTAACTACAAGAACATTCTAAAAACTCAATTAATCGGTTAAAACCTTAGGTTAGTAGAAATTCCCACCACTCGCTGCAGGCATTGAAAAGTTATTCTGCTGATAACTTTCTATTATTTCCTCTAAAATTATACAAAGGCAATTAAAGTGAAGGTCTGTTTTTTGGTAACACTTTGAAATTATCGACAGTAATACTGCAGTAAAAAATAAATAAATAATATTTTGACTGGTATCTCAATGATAAGCTCATCGCGTTAAGAATTTTAGGGGTCAAATCCTCGTAGCGGACTTATATTTAATATATTTCTACTGCATATTACCGTGTGCTTTTGTTCCTGGACATGCAAATCCAAGAAGATGACTATTAACACATGGTGTTTGGACTATCTACCTTTGGGCTGTATTTCTTCAAATGTCAAATAAAACACATATTTGAACAAATTGCCTATCAAAGGAATATGACACATTGGCAAGGCTATTAAAATTCAGCAACGCTCATGTTAAGAAAGTTTTCCAAGGAGATGATTAAGTGGCCGCATCGTTACTATTTTATCCTGGTTGTTCATACGTATCAATAAAATATTTACCCACTGATTACCGTTGTTTCTTTATTCCCACCAGTGTGTCCTCTTGATAGAATAATGTAAGCGGATGAAGGTCCATGCTGGCATGCTATCACATTTCAGTGTCATGTCATACTGACAGGTTATGACATTTCAAGTGTGATGTCATATTGAAAAGTTGTGGCATTTTGTGTCGATGTCTTACTGACAGGCAGATTATGGCATTTCAATGGTATGTCATTTAAGGAATGATTTTTATTTTTTCAACATTTATGAGGTCATAACAACAATGGGTTTATGGACATATTGAATGAATCGCGTTAGCGATTCATGTAAAATATGTCCAAAAACCCATTGTTGTTATGACCTCATAAATGTTGAAAAAATAAATATCATTCCTTATATTTACATTGACGAATCCTTTCAGTGGATCGATATAACAACGAATAAAACAAATAAACAGGGTTTGTTCCTGCTTATACACGGGTGCAACGCAGTGGCGAGAACAGTGTTTTTTCGCGGGGAAATGTGACACTATCGTGATAGATCTTAGCAACCGTCAACAACAATAATACAACAAAATGTAGTTCCATATTCAATGTTTATTTGTAGCACAGGACACGTGAATACGTGGATATTTCACCAAGCACAGTTCAATAATATTTTAAGATGTAAGAATTAAGCATCTAGGTAGGTCGTTCCGAGTGAGTAGTTTTTGTAGTGTATTACTACGCAGTGTGATCAGGTTACTATCAGTTCCCACGTGCTGAGATTCATTGAACACCTGTGTTATGCATTTATGAATGTAATTTTTGTCAATGGGTCTAAGCATACAGAATGTAAATATATTAAAATGGCGAAATGAATGGTCCCAACATCATTCTTAATTATGCCACTCGCAACGAAGTTAGGGGGGTATACTGGACTCAGCTTGTCTGTCTGTCCGTCCGTAGAAAAAGTTTGTCCGGACAACTCCTGCTAAAGTAATGGGCCAATTTCAACGACACATTCCAGATATAATAACTACCACCTGAAGTTGTGCGTCCAGGTATTATTTATTTCATTCTTACCCTTTTTTGCGAAGTTATGTCCCTTTGTTGAAAAAAATCCTGAAACCTTTTGTCCGGACAACTCCTTCTAAAGTTATGGATCGATTTCAACGAAACTTTCCAGATTGATATCGATAACTACCAGCTTAAGTTGTGCATCCAGGTATTATTTTGTTCATTTTGTCCCTTTTTCACAAAGTTATGGTCCTTTGTTGACATATCTTTGTCCGGACAACTCCAAAACGAAAAGGCCAGTTTCAACGAAAATTTATTATGATAACTATCACCTGATATTGTGCGTCCATGTATTATTATTTTGGTTCTGACCCTTTTTACGGAGTTATTGCCTTTTGTTGAAAAATTCTTGCCCGCACAACTTCTCCAAAACTACTGGACCAATTTCAATGAAAGTTTTCAGATATGATAACTACCACCTGATGTTGTGCATCCAGGTATTTTTTCCAACCCTTTTATATGGAGTGATGACCCTTTGTTGAAAAACCCTTGTCCTGACAACTTTTCCAAATATACTGGGCCAATTTCAAAGAAAGTTTACAGATATGGCAACTGCCCCTTGACGTTGTTGTCCAAGTAGTACTTTATCATTCCGACCCTTTTAAGAGGAGTTATGGCCCTTTGTTGAACTTAACTACTGGGCCAATTTGAATGAAAGTTTACAGATATGGTAATAACCCCCTGATGTCGTGCATCAGGGTAGTATTTTTTCATTTCGACCCTTTTTAAGGAGTTATTTCCCTTTGTTAAAATCTTTGTCCTGACATCTCTTCCTTAACTACTAGGCGATTTCAGCAAAGCTCGTTCATCTGGACTAACAAGATTTGGTTTTCAGGTACGTTTGGCATTGAGAGGGAAGTATGTGAGTGACCTATATACTTAAATAAGTGTACAGTACAGCCAATAAAGAAATCAGTACTGGTGGGAGACTATATTGCTTTACAATGTTTTGCCTTGGTAAGCATATAGCTTACAGTTCTGGTTTATATAGAGGCGGGGGGCTATTATTTATTTAGTTAGCCTATAGCTTAGTTCTGGTTTATATAGAGACGGGGGCTATTAGTTAGCCTATAGCTTACAGTTCTGGTTTATATAGAGGCGGGGGCTATTGGTTAGGCTATAGCTTACAGTTCTGGTTTATATAGAGGCGGGGGGCTATTAGTTAGCCTTTAGCTTACAGTTCTGGTTTATATAGAGGGGGTTAGATATTATTTATTTAGTTAGCGTATAGCTTACAGTTCTGGCTTATATAGAGGCGGGGGGCGATTATTTATTTAGTTAGCGTATAGCTTACAGTTCTGTTTTATAAAGAGGCGGGGGGTTTAGTTAGCCTATAGCTTAGTTCTGGTTTCTATAGAGACGGGTGCTATTAGTTAGCCTATAGCTGACAGTTCTGGTTTATATGTGAGCTGGGGTATTAGTTAGCCTTTATCTTTCCGTTCTTGTTTTTATAGAGTGGGGGAGTTATTATTTATTTAGTTAACCTATAGCTTACAGTTCTGGGTTATATAGAGGCGGGGGATTAGTTAGCTTTTAGCTTACAGTTTTGGTTTATAAAGAGGCGGGGGTATTAGTTAGCCTGAAGCTCACAGTTCTGGTTTATATATGTTCGGGGGCCTATTATTTATTTAGTTAGCTTATAGCTTGCAGTTGTGGTTTATATAGAGGCGAGGTATTAGTTAGCTTTTAGCTTACAGTTCTGGGTTATAAAGAGGCGGGGGTAGTAGTTAGCCTAGAGCTTACAGTTCTGGTTGATATAGAGGCGGGGGGCGATTATTTATTTAGTTAGCTTATAGCTTGCAGTTGTGGTTTATATAGATGCGGGGGCTATTGGTTAGGCTATAGCTTACAGGTCTGGTTTATATAGGAGGGGGGGTATTAGTTAGCCTATAGCTGACAGTTCTGGTTTATATAGAAGCGGGGTATTAGTTAGCTTTTACAGTTCTAGTTGTTGCTAACCAAACCAGACTAGTTTTATCGTTAATATCCTTGCATCTAGTAGGGTCCAATAAACACGGATGGCTAGGGAGCCACTAGCCAGGTAACAGAGAAAAAAATATAAATTGGTAATTTCAATATCCCCTAAGCACAAAACACACAAAAGAATTCCACGATTCTTCTCGCTTAGCCGCGAAGATGCCTAGAGTGTACTAAATAAGTGTGAAGATTAACTTGGATCAAAGCACATAAGCTTGATATTGCTTGATAAAGACCAAATAGTCCAGGATCTGCACAACCGTTGATATGCTTGGCTTTCCATGGTGTAAATTTAGTTTAAGAACTTTAAGAATTAAATCAAAGTACTTAACACACTAACCCTGTTTTACAGTTCTATTGTGATTGCATCAATGCTCTAATGGAAATAGAAAATGTTCTGAATCCTAGTTCATAGGCAAGTAGGAGTTGGATTCAAACTAGATGTAGCATAATTTGACTCTCTATACATGTACAACGATTTTCCATAATTGTAAGTGACATCTTCAGGCAAGAAACATACCGGCTATATCTTCTTGTGTGCATGTTTCATGGATCGTTTGGTGGTCATTTTGTGTATATTGTTCAACTTACATCAAGTCCATCACCGTCATAATGTTTATATTATAAAACAAATAATTATAGGTTTGTAAGTAGAATAGCATTAATTCTTTTTATACCCTGCTTCAACCTTAGGCGGGGACTCTAAGCTTTATATATAGGTATCAGCTGATGGTGGTCACACCATAAAATGAGGTCAGTGACCTCAACTTGACCTTTCTCAAATCACTGATCTGCAACCTATCTCGCCACTGATTCACGAATGAGCTTCAAACTTTGTAGACACGTTAGGAGCGGTGGTAAAAGTGAAGCCCACATTTTGAGTTAAAACTGGTTGGAAGATAATTTTAACTGATCAATCAATATCTTGATACAAATAGTTATTCATGAATAAAGGGTTTGTTATACATGTAGCTAAAGACTGAATGGCCAGTGGTTCTAACCCATATTCTTTTTCTATTTCTATCCTGTATATCCTTTTGTCAGCTTTATGAACCAACAACAAGTTTCCTGTTAACTATCCTTGGACCATGAAAAGCAGTTGCCATGACAAATTTCAATCATTTTCGAACATGATGAATACAGTTTGTGTCAGAAGCTTGTCAAAATGATACTGCTTTGAAAAGGAGGCATAAAAAATGACAAAGAAATTGAACAAAGAGCAGTTTGATCTTTTTTTCAATTAATTGGAGCAGATAAAAAAAAGTGGAGATACATCATCAACCTAGAGCCTTGCCATTTGAAGTCATACATATATAGATATATCATTGTTGATTCATTAAAAATGTTTGGGATGTAGACAGTATAACAAGTGCCCAGTGAAAATAGATACAGAAAGCACATTTTCGTGATATAATATTGTGTAAATTTTACTTTTTTTCTTCATTGTTCATGTTTAGAATACATTATTAATGATACAGATCCTGAAGGTGGGAGGTATCAAACCATATTTTCAGTTTGCACTTTTTTGGGAATTCATAGATCTGTTAAGTCATAGTGAACAAAGAAACTGAGGATTCATAGCTACGTAAACATAAGTTGATCGGCGGCGATTCTCTGGCATCGGAATTACCTACACTTTCTTCGTTTGATTTCTGCAGGATTCGTCCATCATCCACTCGTTACAAGCGATACCGAGGGAGACCTCCATGGGTCTGTTCACTCCAATAAATCAATCGTTAATAAATCGGCGTTATAAACACCAAGCTACCCTTGATGCTACTTTTCCAGTTTGATACCGGTTACTTTCATGATTTTTTTGGTCCAATTTTTTTTTCATTATTTCTTTTTTTCAAATCTGACCCCAAAACATACCGGCGCACTATACCTGAGTGCGCACTATACACGCAAATTTACGGTAAAAAATATTTAAGAAATGATACGTCATGTAAATTTAATTGAAACATCCATCTTTCTTGAATAA